TTAGCGATGCCCTCGGAGTATTTCTGCCACCGGAGGACCAGCAGGTCCCTCCAGCTCGGGGACCGTTACCGCTGGCGGCTCCTTGCGGCGTGGCGAACCCTGCAGCCGCCAGCGCCGGGCCTGCACACGCGGACCTGCCGTCCGCGGGTTAAAGCCTGCGCAGCTCGTAACACGTCCTGGATGCCTGGCGAGTCAGGAGACCGCTTTCCGTGCCAGAAGTGCGCTCTGCTCTGTTCGAGCAAAGCACCTGGATCCTTCCACTTTCCTTTCTGATAGCCTGGATAACTCTCCCGCAGCGAGAAGCCAAGCGAGGAGAGGCCGACTGCTTCCATTCTGCGTCGGCCAAATCTTCCGCAACTGCCTTGGGTCAGAACAGCTCAAACTCGCACCTTGTGCGCAGCTGGAAAGCGAAGGCGAAGCCAAGGCAGCCCGTATTGACCGCAGACCTTCACTCGTGGCTTTGTTCTGCCACTAACGGGAAACAGGGCAAACGCCTTCCTCCGTGGCCGTACGCAAGCCACGCTGTCCGTAAAGGGAAAGGACCGTGCAGAACTACTCCAGCCCCTGCGGGTCTGCTCAGTCCATTGATCCACACAACTGGCTTCCAGCTCAGCCATAAAACACAAGGTAAGATGGAACTGCCAATTACTACATTTTAATCCTAAGGCACTAAACATGCCCAAATATGGACATGAAAAGAAAGAACCTAAAAACAAAGTTCTGCTGAATTGACTCAGGAAATCCTCCTGGCTGAAAGCAGCAATTGGCCAGGCCTCAGTTTCCCTAGGATCCAGAAACAACAACCACGTGCCAGAATATGGGCCCTGGTTCAGATCCACAACAGAAAAGACAGGCTGCCATAAAATGAAGTTGTTGGAAATTGCATCACAGAAGTTAAGCAACTTGAGGATAACTTCCAAATCCACTTAGTTCTGCCTCATACAGATTGCTTTTCTTCCTTACTCCCCTGCAGCAAAGTCAAGCTGATGGGGACATTTCGTTAGGCAATTAAAGCAACTAAGTGCTCTACCTGTAAACGCATCTGGGTCCAGAGTCTCAACTGGTTGTGAAACTGCAATGAGTAAGTGCTGTGCAACACCTAACGTGACACTAAACGTTTTTTGGAGGGAACATTTTCCCAATTTCAGGGGTGGGGAGGAGGAGAAGCCTGGGGAAACTGGAAATAAAGTGCAAGAAGCAGTTCTGTAATGGTGTCGGCACACAAGAGGACTTGGGAGGGTTCCTCTATGTACAGCGGAAAAATGAGGCATCCTTCTGGGAAGGATACGCTATAGTATGCTGTGAGCTAGAGGGTTTTGGCATTTATTATTGGGAAAAAAAAAAATTCAATTCAAACTGATAATCTTATCAAGGAAGAAAACTAGCTCCTCACTCTTCTGCTCCCCATTGATCATCGCCCCAGGATAAGCAAAAAGAAAGTCTTTAGCTCTGCCAACTCAGTCCTTTCAGGAGTTTTAGACCTTCTGTCCCTGCAGCACTTTGCCAACTTCCTAAGAAGGGCTGAACAGCACATTTCTGCAGTGCTGAATTTTACAGCACCAAAGGAAGTATAACATATTTCAGCGTTATGTCTGATGGGAAACCCTAGGGCACAGAATTACTCACCCTGCCCCACTTTCATGACAATCTTCATGGAGCGTGTCTGACAGACGCCTCCTTCTCTGTTCTCCAGGCCATCCAGAGTCCCATTAGAAGTGGCTGTAAGGAAAAGAGACAGAATATTATAGAGCATTTGTAAGGAACGGAGAACATTTGAGAGGTGTGAGGCAGGTCCCCAGCTTACGCTTGGGCAGCTATCTCCCAAAAGGCGTATTTGAGTCATCTAGTGGGAAGCCAAATAATGTAACAGGAGAAAGTTTCAAAAATAACTGTGTGCCATGGAAATTTGGATGCTCCGGGTTCCCTCGGCTGGGGAGCGAGGCAGCTTTTTCAGCTCTCTAGTCCGCGCTAGTCACTTCAGGCTAGTTTAGAAATATGCCAAGGACCAAGGGGGAACGTGCGCTTCCTCACTTTCCCATCTCGGGATCCCGTTTATAAGCATCACTGCGTAGCGAGACAAAAACGTAAAAGCAAGCTGAGACTGAAGAGCAGGAAAACCTCCAGTGGCTGGAGCACGGGATTACGAGGGAGGGACGGACCTCCCAAGCGTTTGTGTGCCCCCGGCCGGAGGCACTCATCCCCCAAAAACCCCCCGCCGCCCGCCCCGGCGAGCCGGCCCTTCCCACTGCCCGCACCCTCCTCCCCCTCTAATTCCTGGATAATTTCCTTTGCTCCTCGGCGCGTAATAGGAACACATGCATATGCACAGTTTAAATTATACCTATGTAATTACACCCTACGCCTCAGAAAGAATGTAAACGCAGAGCCCCAGTGGGTTTGAACAGCTTTAATTGCCAGGCAGAAGTCAGTTAAACTCACGTTAACTCTTTTCTTCAGCCGGCACAGATTTTAAGTTCAATCCCGTGGGAGTGCAGCAAGCCACCCGTCTCCTGCTGTTACCAGGCCGGAGGGGACACGCGCCCGCTCGCCTGAAAGCCTTCTCCGGGGACCGGTGGCAGCCCCGGTGTCCCCACCGGCGCTGCGGAGAGGACAGCGGGGCCGCAGGAGGCGCGTCTCGCTGCGTGCCACCCCGACAAGCACTCCGGAGCCACCAAAAAGACAAACGGCTCCGTCTCTCCGAACGCAGCACCGCACCAGGATAATCTGGACCTCCCGGGAGCAAGGCAGGGAAGAGATGTTTTTGGCAGGGCTCCTTCCACCTTGGCCGCACAGCGTCGGCCGAGCAAAGCCACGGACGTTACCGGGGTTCCCAACTCGCAGCAAGATAGAGGGTTATAGCACTGAGCATCCAAACGGCCGATCCTTCTAAACGTACCCCCAAATCTGACTCGTGCCGGAGCCGCGAGGGGCTGAGAAGATGGCTGGTCTCGGCGGCTGCCATTTGATGCCGAGACGGCTCTGGCACGCAGCCCGCTCCACTGCGGAAAAGGCTCCCGTCAAGAGGGGACAGTTATTAACCTGGCATCTCCGTCCATGGCGCTGAGCGCTGCACCGCAACCGGACGCGAGGACTCATCCCCCCAGAGAGGCCCCAAATCCGAGGAGGAGCGCAGCAGTGCTCGAGCAAAGCCCAGTGGCGTTTAAGCAAGGACACGGGAGGAAGAATTAGGGAGTAACTTCACAGAGACAGAGCCGTTCGGTCCGGCGGCATCCGGCCAGCGCAGGCAGCCAACACCTACCCCCAAGCTTTCCTGGCCAAAAACCAGCCCCGGAGGCTCAGGTTACCGGTGAGGCCTCGTTCCTGCCCTCGCCTGGGGCACAGACCCACTTTTGGGGGGGGCCGCGTGACAGATGGTCTCCTGGGACCAACGCATCGGGCAAACCCAGCCCAGGGGCAGCGAGGACGTCGGGGAGGAGGCCGGGGGTGGAACAAGCCCGTCCCTTCTCTTCCAGGCGCCCTCGGAAGCGTCAGGAGCCTCGGCGCGCTCAGGACGGCGCCTGGACGAGCCGGGCAGTACTTTACTGCCTGGTCTCCCGCAGAGCCATCGCCGCGCGAGGAGGGCGGAAACGGCCTCCCCCCGGGGCCCGAGCCCACGAGGAACAGGCAGTGACCCAGAGCAAGCAGCGCGCTCTACTGTATTACTCCAGGTCTCGTCTACGCTTGAAGGTTTATCTGGATTACGCTAGGACGCAAGCTCAAAGGATTACGCTAGGACGTGAATTCAAAGTACATCAGTTGGCAATCAGAGGTGTTTCCAAATTCCTCTATGTGCAAACAAGCCTTCAGTGTGAAACGCCAGCAAATGTTTTACTAATCAGCAAGTTACTCGGACATGTGCTGAGTTATCACCTCTCCAACGGCGGCCGTTTTGTTTGCCAGCTGTTCACCGGACGAATTTGTGCATCCACACATTTGGGATTCACTAGCTTAAGTTTTGACAGGAGCCCTGCGTCAGCATAAATCCTGATTCAATGCATGGGGAAACGTCCGCTTAAAAATTGCACAAACTTCCTAACGTGAATAGGAGTCGGGGGCCCAAACTCAAAAACCTCACAAAAAGCTCTTTGGGAGCGAATTCTTGCAGAATAAGTGGCAGCTCTGGAGGGGGAGGAGATCCAACTTGCTCCATCTCCTCCCAAACACCTTTGGGTCAAGCCTTTAATCAGCTTCAAAATTTCCTCAATTATCATTTCTATTACACCACCATATGGCTACGGCACTCCCCGCAATCGCCGCCCCCACAAGCCCAGCCCTCCCCGGGGGCTTCCCACGCCGCCACAACCACCACGGCCCATCCTCCTCCGCGGCAGCAATGACGCTCCCGGGAAGACAGACGTCACCTGCGGGACACGTGGGCCGGGCAGGCGCTGGCGTCCCGCGCCAGGGCGCTGCTGGAGGGAACAGCACGGCCGGGTGGCAGAGCCGCCCATGGCTACAGAAGCAGCACACGATGACCGCTCACAACCACCTGAAGTGCGGACTTTCACACGTCCTCTTCCTGTACAACTCCTCATTGTAGGGAGAAATGAGGAATGGCAACTACTGGTGGGAACACTGCTAGGACCAAGACCCAACCCTAATGTCTGATGGGCTAGAAAAGAGCTCATCTGTTCTCCCAGTCCAGAGGCACTGGTTTCGGGATAAAATAACAAGTCGATGATGTCCCAGGACAGAGTTTTAAAGCAGTTTCAGGAACAGCATCACAGGTTGCCCAGTCTAGCACCATGCCATAAGGAAACAGGGCAGGGGCAGCACGTCATATGCGTTCAGCAGCTGCTCCATCTCTAACGGGCTTAACACACTTACCGCGTACTAGAGCGACCAGGGCACGCACGTCACCAAGCCCCGCACGTCACCAAGCCCCGCTCAGGACGGCCAAAGGACACCGCAGCAGTGGGAACCAGCAGGAAAAAGCCTCAACGGATGCCTTTTTCCCATAATCCACTGCGACCACATTGAACATACTGCCTCTGTCCGCAAGCTGTCCTGCACGGCACGCGCTAGACCTGCGTGGTGGAGGTGCTCTTCAGGCCCCGAGAGGGCATGCACAGCTGCAAACCACTGCAGCCGAGGCAGCAGCTGCTGCCAGAAAACATGCTCAGCCACAGCGAACACGTGCCAGGTCCGGACCTCCCCGTTCCTGCCTTGGGAAGCGCTCCCAGCGCCCGCAAAGGACGGAGACGGCCTAGGCCACCCGGCAGCAGCCTTTGGTACAGGCCCAGCTGGTTCTCGGGGCGCCACAACCCAGATCTACGCACGCTTCCCTCCACAGCACAGGCGCAGGGGTCTGTCCCCACGTGCAGCGTCGCCATGCTGTCAACATCCCGCCCCCCGCAGCAGCACCTTCTGCCAGCAGCAGCAATCATCCCCGTCGACACAGCAGAGGAAGGCAAACCCGTCTGTGAAAAAGAGTCTGTGAAAGATCTATAAGATCGATAAATAAGATAGCAAACTAATTATACGGAAAAGGCCTGCACAGTATCTATGAAGTAAAATGTAACGCCTGAAATACAGCATTAAGGTTCCTCACTGTCCATGTCTTCGTTCCTCATGTCCACGATGCCAGTTACCACAAAGCTGCTAGGGACTATTAGAGATTCGGCAAAGGCAGAACAGGATGGAGACTTCACTTTCTCCAAAATAACTATGTAAACATTATATTAGGACAGGACAAAAATATCAAGTGATCAAATAACATGAAGAAGTGCTACATGAAGAACGGACTAAAGAGGACTCAGCTGAGAGTCCTTTTCCCCATCAGACTTTAATAAGCCTACGGAAAAGTCTCTCTTATTCTGTCATAACAATTACGAAGGCAAAAAGTAGCTTTGAAAGGGGAACCACATAAAAAAATGAAGAAGCTACGTGAAGGAACATGAAAAGGGACAGCTAAAAGGGTAAAAAGTTTGCAAAAACCATGGAGATAGCCTCTTGAAACAAAGACTTGGAACAAAGACATACACTACTAAATTCTATATATATCCTGAATAGGCCAAAACCAAAGCAAAGCAAGAACTTCAGCATAAAAGACCATACTTCAAAAAGTTAAAATCACATCCAAATTAGTAAAAGAGAGAGTATAACTTTTAGAAAGTTTATGCAAACATTTAAGTAAAACTAAAATATTTTTGTGAAGGAACTTAGGGTATAAAACCTAAGGATAACAGCTTTTGCAAAGCCATCAGAAGCAGGAAGCCAGGTCGAGCCTTGGAGGGCCCTATAAACAATCAGCAGGCAGAAGTAGCTCTTAAGTGAGCAAGGGCACCGCACAAAAGCTAAACAAATTATTTTCATCACTATTCATTATAAAGCAGCACAGGATGTTTACATATTAGCGTCATTCCTAATGGTGAAACACCCAAAATAAAGTGTTTCAAATCAATGTATCAA